TGAAAGTCTGTTGTTATTCTAAAATTATTCTGAATTYCAGTAACTGGGAGTTGAGGAGTTTATTTTGGTGAGCAGTTGTCAGCAGTAGYGACAAGCACGCGTCTAGAACAAAGGTTACAGTACCAAAAAATGTACTGCTGCCGTAAATTTACTCATAGGTACTCATATGTAAAAAATGCATAGTATTTTTATGCTTGCATTTGTTTTTAGCAAAAAATATCCACCAACATACACAGCGTTTCAGATTAGGTAGTTTAATTAGAGACGAGAGAGAGAGAGAGAGAGAGAGAGAGAACTGCTGCACTAAAATTTATGATTGCTGTAGCAAGATTTATTGGTACGTATGGTACTTGTTAAAATCAGTGGCTTTTTCCTGGGAAGCTTTATATCATTTCATTTTAAGAACTACATTATACAAGAATGTATAATTACTGTGACTTTTTACTTCATATTTCCAAATTTATTTCAACACCTTACAAGTTGTTCTCAGCACTCTTGCATGATGTTAGATCATCAAATGGATGAAGAAAATACTCYGTTCAGTACAATGCCACTAATTAAAGCTGAGAGTGAATGGACTGTATTAGGATCAGTTCATCCATCAAAGACTGACTACTGCTTATTTACTGTCAGTTCTTCATTTAGCAATATTAATTACACAGTGACACCGTTATGTAGAGGTTATGACTTACTGTATATTTGAAAATTAAGGAAGAGTGTTTAAAAGGTAATTGTAGACGCTGAGCCCTGGAAGTCTCAAAGTGCTTGCAAACGTATTTACCAATCAAGTGTTTAATTACAAGTCAATGAACAGGACAGCAGCTTACAGGTCTCGATAGGCTCCTTGTGGAGGCTGTGATGTAGTGGCTGTGGCTCCATGGAAATCAGTGAAAGTCTGTCTTTTACTGCAGCTCTGAAAATAATTTTTAGATATTTGAGTGTGATTTCCCRAACTATATTGGTTTAAAATTATTGTGGGGAGAAGAATTTTGTTTACAGTTCTCTATACTGATCACATGCCCTTTTCTTGCTGCACCACTACTTAAATCTTTCACTGCCACTCTCCATATATTGTTCTAAAGTCTCCATACAATGCACAGATTACTCGGCCTYTTGTGTTCCCCCAGCATGGATGTAAGTCACTTCATGCCCATTAGATAGTCTGGACTAAACGAAGGTTTTTAACTGGAACATGCCATCATACTATTATTAGTCATATGTTTAATTCTAGCAGTACTCATTTTGAAACTCTCAGTGTACATGTATTTTCTAATATAATAATTTGAGTTAAATATTCCTATTGTGATCAGCAACTTTTCAAACTGAATATTAGCTGAATAATATTACTTTGTACTGGTTCAAAAGGAAGATCATGAGTTGTGTGGGATTACCTAGAGACTMTTGGTTTCCTTGTGTTTAAATTAAACATGGTTTTGGCAGGGAAGGTTTTGAGAAAAAAAAGAAAAACAATATTGCAAGTGGTGAAGTGCAAATGTTCATTTCCTGTGCAATATCTGATAACTGTGGTTGTTTTGTAATAAAGCTCTTTGTGTAAAGGAGGCCTGGCCTCTGTGGGAAAAAATTATATATATAAAAAAAGGATCTAGTGGCTGAGCTGGAAAATACTGTTTTGTCCACATTCTAAAAATGGGGTTGAAATGATTCATAATATGTGCGCTTTTTTGTTCAAGAAGGAACTTGAAAGTGATTTTCTGTTCAGTGCTGAGCTGCAGGTTCCTTCGTGGCCAGAGCTGCCGCTCACTCAGATCTGCTTATGGCCAAAGCCAGGGGCACCGCTGCCGTGCAAGGCAGAGCCGGGGGCGGCAGAGCCGGGGGCAGCAGAGCCGGGGGCAGTAGAGCTGGGGGCAGCAGAGCCGGGGGCGGCAGAGCCGGGGGCGGCAGAGCCGGGGGCGGCGCTACGGCTGCTGCCCTCAGAGCTGCTGAGAAATGAGCCTTGCCTGGCCTGTTCGGTGGTTGTGTGGTCTTGTGGCCTTGTGTTGCACGACGTCGGGAACGGCCTCTTCCTAAAGTTGTCCTGAAAAAGCACGGCTGTAAAACAGACCCAGGCAGGAAAATGGGAAACAGATGAAGTGGCTGTACGGCACCTAGAGGGTGATACTTTTCTGGAGGACAGAAAAGATGCAATCACTTTCATGAAACAATGAAAAATAGTGCTTATGTAGTGTATTTTTCATAAACGGTCATTTTAAAAATGTTCATTCTGAACACAGTACGCACTTAGATCTACAAACTGCATTACTCTTCAATGTAAAATTATCTGACAATTTCCAGTAAATATATAYATACACACACATATATATATAYACATATAAAGATTTGGTAGGCAGGGAATTCCATTTTATTCCGTTTTTGTTCTGCTTCTCTGTTTTGCTTGTGTCTTATCTTGATGGGTACTTGCAGCCTTCTGTGAGCACACTTTTAATGCATCCTTTCGGTTTCTGTAATATAGCTGAGGCCTTAACAGAAAACAATTGTATAGTTTGAGGACACGTAATGGGCTACTAGAAGAAATATTTACATCTGGCATGATCAAAGCTTTGGAGTATATGAATGTGTGTGTGGGAGGTCTAATTTTTACGTGGGTGGATTAACAAAGATGACTAAAACACTTCAGTACTTAACCCCTTTCCCTTTATGAAAATTCACTTCCTGAAAATGAGAAAAACATGTAGTACCTGATTTTTATCTTCAGTTTTTCATTTCAAGGAGTATTAATTCGTCTGTGTGTAACTACTTGCTTGAGGCATAGAGAATTTCGGGTATTTCAGCCTCTATAATGGCTTATTTAACAAGATGTTTATCTCGCTCATGAGTTTTGTGCATGTTCAAACATACTTATGTTCTGGAGTTGTTAAAACTGATATGTGGTAGTTTTAGTAGGATTTTGATACTCTTGTGGAACTGTGCTGATAGGAGCACTATTACATTTTCCGGTGTTTGGCAATAGCTGGCTCTTCAGGTTTGATTTTTGCAATTTTAGTCCCTGTGGTAGTAATCGGCCACGAGTGGCTTCTAGAAATCTGTCGCTTAAATTTCTTTTCATACAGTTATTTAAGACAAATAATTGCTTGCATCCTGAAMAGATACTGATAGTCATTTGAATCATCTCTCTTAGCATTTCCTTTACCTGCCACGGCATGGGCYGTGAGCACAGGATCAAGTGGTGCATGCCAGGTGGCTAATCACAACTGRGCCGTGTTTTGCTGACTGTGGCATGAGGAGCAGCTCTTGAAAGCAGTTAATACCGCAGGGAAGGCGCATATTTATCTGTGGAAGCCACAACCCCATGGGCTTCCTGAAAGATCCTTCACATACCTACAGCATCCGTTACTGTCGCTTTAGCGTTGAGGGTCAGCAAAGCAGGGAGATGAAAGCGTTTCACACCTATCCAGTTGTGGGTGTACATGCAGCGCTGCTGGCTCTTACTTACCTGTTTTACATTTGCCCAGTAAATGGTGGCTGTCGGGTACGCAGCTGGATCTGCCATGAGTTTCTTGAAGAAACTTTCTTCTTCTTCTTGAAGAAACTTTCTGTCTTTCTTCAGAAAGACAGCAGTGGGAAGCAATTTGTTTTCTAGTCCCAGGTATCACTTACCTTCAAGTAAATGTTCAAGTACAGATAAAAAAAAACATATGCAAGGCACATCATTTAGATATGGTCAGTCCTAGGCGTTCAGTCATCATTGATGGAACTCGGATCATGAGAATTCAAAGGAATTGGTTTTAAAATGTTGTGTTTGGTAATTTGGGATCGTTTGCTTCTGGTTCAGAAGTCCCCCTAGAGCACATACTCGCCTCTCTCCTCGCTATGTCTTTCCAACTCCAAGTGTAGCCATTATTTCTGAGGAGCAGAGGTCCCGGTGGTAGCKCCATGAGAGTCTGGTCTACCTAAAGCCTGGTGCAGTCAGACCTCAGAGGAGAAACATGGGCCCAGGCTCCATTAGCTGCATTAGCCTTCCACAAGGAGGGCGCAGAGCAAGTCCAGAGAGAGAAAGTCTTGGAAGAAGTGCCAACCAAGTTCAAAATGAGTGGTGTGGAGTGTCCCAGGGCCCCCCTGCACGCAGGCTGCTGGCGGCAGAGCTGAGCGAGGCACCTCTGAATGCGTGAGGGAAACAGTTGGGATCATTTCATTTTACTGGCGAGCAGAGAAGAACGGCAAATGTAATGTTACCGGGTGGCACGGTGAGACCGCCCGCCTACCTCCCTGCTGCCTGTTGGAGGAGATTTCTGCTGGCCCTCTCCTAGCTCCTAAGCTGAAGAAGGGCCCTCTGCTCTTTCTCCTTGGCTCCCTTCTGCGGTAGTCGCCCCTTCTCATGGTCCCGGATTCCTCCTCCCTGGCGCCCTCGAGGGCTCTGCCCCACTGCCACGTACCCGTCCTTGGGGCAGTGCTAGGCCCTTAGTCCTAGGCACTTCCTTACCTGTCAGCCCGTGTCCTCCCCGGCTCCGGCACAAGGCCGGGCTTTGGCTCTGCGCTTCCCGGCGGAGCCAACGCGCCGTGGAAAACACTACAGTCACGCTCTGCTTTTCCCTTCCCCTCCATCACTCCGCCTGTTGTGTGCTTGATCTCCCTTACATATGCGTGTGTGTCTTCTATATAGAGATTCTGCACAAATTATGATTTATTTTATGTCTGAGTCCTTTCACAGCGGGCAGCATGCTCTAAGTTCTGGTACCTAGTGTATCATCAAATCACATTTAAGGCAGAGCYGCAGCTTTGCGTAGTCACTATGTAACAGTGTCAGGGCTGCCTCTGAGCCCATATTAATGAGTATTCCCACATATGCAGGAGAAAATGTTAAATATCAGTGTCCCAGTTGCCCAAGCATAAACATCCATCCAGCTGACTGTTTTACATTTATCATTCTAAATGTGTTTGTGTAAATTCAGCATTTGGATTTGAGATGCAATTTTTGTGCTGTTTTTTTTTCTCTCTCCAGTCTTGCTTGTGTACATTACTATTCATATTTTTTTTCCCACCAGACTTTGCATTTAGGATAGTGAGTGCCCCAATGGCCTTGGATTTAGCTTTTGGCACGGTGTGTGAGCTGCTCCAGCTGTGGGGGGAAGTCCGTGCTGGGATCCCCATCCTGCTGGAATGGCTGCTGGGAGACAGCGACCTGAAAAGCGACGGGGAGACTCCAGCTCTGGTAATTTAAACAACCAGTTGTTTTCTCGTGTGGGACTTGCTGTTATTTCTACACTCTTGTTTGGAAGAGAATGAAATATCTGATGAAGCTGTTCCAGAAGATCATTACTCTAGCATTAACTGTTTTTCAATTTAAAGTAAAAAATCATATGGACAGTAGTATATTGAGAATAAGCAAATASTCYGATCTCCTCAGCCTGGCATGTCAGCATTAAAATTTGAAGGAAAAAAAAAATTGAAATTAACAAATCATTGTTGCTTGAAGCACTTCAAGGTTTAAATTAATTGCCTTCAGTGTTATTGCAGATGATTAATACTTGCCTTGAATTGAAAGTGTCCCGATTGCGAGGCACATGCGACATTTAAGGACAGTGTTATCCCAACTGCTGGCTTTTCCAGAAACTTCATTGGAGTATGGGGTAGCTTTGCTCAGTTTTCCGTATGTCTGCTGCTGTTTAGCACGTGAGACAGCCCTGCTTTCGTAAGTCCCTTCAGGAGGATTAGTTACATAGGGAACCCTTTACCGTGGCGTGTCTGTAAACCCAATATTGCACAGAGCTTTGTGCTGCCTTGGCCTTGAAAAGGCTGCCAAAGATACATGTTTTTGTAAATATAATGCTAGAAAATAAATGGGAAATTGCAGGAACAGCTGTATCTTTGAGAAGTTTGTTAACAATTGATATGACCAGGTAATACATTGTGAAATGTTTCTTAAGCCTGTGGTTTAGGTGTCCCCTTTTGAAGTGTCACCGACCGGTAGAATTTTCCTGTTGCATTTAATCCACTCAGAGAGCTCCATGATACAGCAAATTACCATCACGGTTACAGAGATCTCTGTGTAATACAAGACAGTTTGAGAGTGGAAGGCAAGCACATGCTGAAGATTGGCGCCACTAGTTGCTTCCACTGCTTGCTGAGAGCTACAGCATAAATGCCTGGTTTTTGAAGGTAAATTTCATTGTCATTWTAGGAAGCTCCACGTTGTGTTTTTTTTCCTGCTCCTCAGGCCGAGGACGCGGCCSATGGCCTGTTCGCCAAGGGCGAAGGGAACTCGTGGGCGGAGGAGCTGCGCAGCGCCGGGCTGCTCGGCCGGCACGTGGCGGGGCTGCTGTCCGCGCTCCCGCCGGCTGTGGCTGCGGCGGAGCGGGCGCCGCTGGAGCAGGCGCCGCTGGAACGGGCAGCGCTGGAGCAGGCGCCGCTGGAACGGGCAGCGCTGGAGCAGGCGCCGTTGGAACGGGCAGCGCTGGAGCAGGCGCCGTTGGAACGGGCAGCGCTGGAGCAGGCGCCGTTGGAACGGGCAGCGCTGGAACGGGCAGCGCTGGAGCGGCTCTGCCGCAGTGCCCGCGAGCGGGCCCGGCGCCTCGCGCGCCTCCTCGGGGCGCTGCCACCGGCTCCAGCGCTCGCCGCGACGGCCCAGTTCACACGGCTGGAGATTCAGCRTCAACGGGTATCCGCCTGCCTGAAGATGCTGGATTTGCTTCAGCCGGATCATCTCCGCAGAAACAAAAAGCCGGAGGAGGGAGTTGCCGGCAGCCCACGGGCCGGGAGCCATGTGTGATGGGCGGCCACCCCAAGGACCAAGGACGGTGCTCGGGCTCCTGCAAACCTGCAACAAGCTCCTCAGCAGGACCTGCCGGAAAAATGTACGGCCCATGGCGAGTCCGGGGGGCTTTTCTCCTTTTTWTTCTTCGTCAGTTGTGGTATGGGAGACGGCTGCTTGTAGATGCATTCGCTTACTGCATTAAGTGAGCGTGGCTCCTTGCAGCTACTGTGGGAAGCAGAGCAGCTCGACTTAGTGTTTTCCGTCCATCCAGGTGCAGGCCACCTGTGGTTCTGTCACGTTTTACCCTGTATTTTTACCTTCCACATTTTAATACTCTGATACACTTAATGTTGTCTTCCTGCAATACATGGAGGAATAATTATAAAGTGAACAGAGTTAGACTGTAAGTTTTTATTTCTGTTACTAAAAGCAAAGAAAAAAAATACTGGCTTCCTCCTTTGCCCTTTACAAACATCACCCTGCCTCGCACTCCTCTCCAGAGGAAGGTGAGGATCCCGCTTCTGAAGAACCTTCCTTGGCRGATGGAAACGGCATTACTTACTCATACATGCCTTTTATTTTTAATTCTTCCATAAATCAAGTGACTGTTTTAATGAAATGGTTCTCAAATGAAGACAAAGCAGCTCCATTTAGAACTAAGCTGTGTCCTTACTTCCAAAATCTTTTGTTGTCTATGTGTTTCTTAGACGGGTGAGAGGCAATGGAATTAGGCCCCTGGATATGCCCGAGTGCTGCTCCATCTCCGCGCTCCGTGTTGGAGGGGGGGCCGTGTGCTCACCAGGTAAAAAGCTCTCAGGTAAAAGCTGTCAAATTCCTTTAATGCCCAAGTTTCAGTGTGTGAACACAAAAAGGAAAAATGCAAAAAGTTTGTGTTTTGTATCTTTTTTCTGAGAACAGGAATGTGGTTACAATATGGCAATGTGATAATAAATGTGACAATGAATATTTATTTCCAAAGGATGTATTATGTTCTTGTAGCCAAGGCCTGTGACTTAACATTCAGTGCTACCGTAGCTTGTCAYAGCCACAACAAAAGCTGCGAGTTAATATATATAGTTACTTCAGTCTCCTTGGGAAGGAAGCGGAGTCGTGCCCAGGAAGCGGGTGCAGAATCTCTGCTTTATGGTGCCTCGGTGTGTGAGTGCAGCTGAGCCGCACATCAGCGCCCGTGCCCTCAGTGGGGCCCAGCCCCACAGATGCTGAAGCCTCTTGTGCCGCGGGCTGCTTCTCGTGGGGCTGCCGTGGGGTGGCAGCACAGCACAGCAGAACGCAGCGGCGCTGCACAGCACTCACCTCCTTATCCTTATCCTTATCCTTATCCTTCCCCGCTTACAGCTTCATTTCCAGCGTGCGGTGCCAGTCCCACTCCAGGAGCGCTGCCTCATGTCTGCAGGTTCAGCGCTCTGCTTCCTTGTGAATGCTTGAGCTGCACTGAGGTTCTGCAGTAAGCCAGGCTCAGCCTCTACATTAGCTTTAATCTGGAGTTGAGAACTGCAAGGCACAAGTGCACAAAAGTTATCAACAGCGGCTTTCTATATGTTTCAAGGATTCAAAATTACTTGTATTTTACAATAAATATGTGGCTTCAATAGGTGGAAAAAAAAAAAAAAGAACCTGAAAGGAAAAGTCATTTCATTGAGGTTGGGGGGGTTGGACTGAACGATCCCTAGAGGTCCCTTCCAACCTCAACCATTCTGTGATTTTATGCAATTTAATAAGTTAATTCAGTCTAATAATTTAGTACAAAAAAAAGTATGGAAAAGACTTTGAAAAAAGCTTGGATCTTTGGGGGGAAACAAGCAGGACAGCTGGGTCCAAGGCCACGTTTGGTGCAGTCAGGAGCTGCACCAGAGCTGTGCAGGATGCTCCCCGTGGTGACAGCCCCTGCAGCGGGACACGCGTGGAGCTGACTCCAGTGTCCAGAACACGGCCCGGCTGCGGGGCCGCGGCCGCTGCGGCGAGACGCGAGTCTGTCCGGTCGGAGTTTCCATCACACACAGCTGCACATGTCTGTATCAGGTATCGAATGCACCAGGTGTATGTCAATAGTCAATACATGAGAGCGAGGCTGTGGAGGAGCATGGCAGCAGGCGCAGGCTGCTCGTGAGCCTCGCGTTAGCTCTGCACTCCTCGGGCTGCGGCTTAGCTGGCAAGCCGCGTAGGCCGAGCGTGCAGCCTTGCTTCGCATGTTTGCGGCGTGCAGCCGCTGTGCCTAATCCCGCCTCAGTTTATGGGCAGGAGATAAAAACACGGATGCATTAGTGCACAGCCATATTCCCCCGTCCGCAGGCGGCCGGGGCCGCTCCGTGCCTGCCCCACGAGGAGCCTCCCTCCCTCCCGCC